TGAGGCTACTTTTGTTCTTGCAGGAGTTCCGCCTATTGATTTTGAAATTGCATATAAGAATAATATTTTTGAGTCATTGGCAACTCATGCTTCGGAAGACTGTATTAATGGAATTGTCCCTTTCACTGATCTTCCTCATCCCGCTTCTTTAGAAACCATAAATTTCTGCGATTATAAAGAGACTGCTGAAATAAGTTTTCATATGGTTTTCTTTACAGATGGCAGCAAGATGAACAACAAGGTTGGCCTTGCATTTGTTCTTTTTGAAGACCATTCCGAGATTTGTTTTCTTAGACACCGTATACGGAATGAATGTACATTTTTTCAAGCAGAACTTCTGTGCATTTATCTTGTCGTCAAATGGATCCAGGATCATGGGACAACATCCTCAAAGTACCTTATTTGTTCTGATTCTCTTTCTTCTCTTCAACTTTTGAACAGTATTACCATCTGCGATAAATTAGTTATTGAAACCCTAGTAACTGTTAGTTCACTTAGAATTAGAGGTATTGATATCTGCTTTGCTTATGTGCGTGCTCATCATGGTTTCTACGGAAATGAAAGAGCTGATTTCTTAGCTAAAGATGCCTTAAATTTACCCATTGATATCAACATTAGTATTCCAAAGAGTTATTGGAAGTCCTTTCATTATAAAAAGCTTTTAGCTATGTGGAATGAGGAATACATTTCATCTTGTAATGCTGAAGTCACCAAAAAGTTCCTTCCTTCTATTTACCATAGACTGAATTCCGAGTCTTTCCTCTCTTTAAATTTTAAAGTGTCTCAGTTTTTATCTGGTCACGGTAAATTTGCAAGTTATCTGTTTCGTTTTAATCTACGATCAAACAATTTATGTGAATGTTCAAAAAGAGTTCCTCGGGATGTGGAACATTTGATTTTCTCGTGCCCTACATTTGATGGCGCTAGATTATGCGTACAGAACGATTTGAAAATGTTCGGAGTGACTTGGCCAGTGAACTTATCTGTTTTCGTGAAGTCCAAACTGCTGTTCTCTGCTTTTGTTCGCTTTATTTATGCATGTAATTTTAATGTTTATTTATACTTGTAACCTTTAATGTTCTAGTTAACTTATTTCTGTAAGCTCCGTGTTGTACATATGTGGTGCACGGAGAGTCTGTATGTTCTCAAAGGAAAAAAAAAAGAAATCGGTAAAGTGTTAAGAGCGGAAGTTCTTTGTTAGTTATAGATGTAGATTGGCGCCAACAAGCGTTATCTCTTTTTCGAGGAGCAGACATCTAGGAATGCAATATAGGTGAATAAGACCTCGCCATATGGCAGACTGCGAATTTTAAGATCCAGCCAGCGGCTTTTTCTTTTGGCGCGATTTCTAATATTATTGATTGCGTATGGAAAAATGGCGGACATATAGCATCATTGTGAATAATGGTAAAATAATTAAAAGTATAGCAATATCAAGGATTTATACCAATCAATTTATCGACGATATCTGGGCCCGTCTTAAAGCTTTTAAACTAAAACTTAATCTGTTTGCTTGGCAGCTAGCTAAGAATGACTTAGGTATTGAATTTAACCTTGGGAAAAAGAACCCAAGGTTAAATTCAATACCCTTAGTAAATGAAGAGAAGCTTAAGAATTATGAAGGTGGCTTAAAAAACTGCATTTTGAGTTCGAACTCTGATTTCAAGATTTCAGTGCCATTCAGAAAGAATTGAATATTTTTACGATGCCTTTCAACGTAAATTGTGAAACAGTGAGGTCAGATTTGCAGCTTGAATTAATTGAGATGCAATCTAATGATCATCTCAAACAGTTGTTTCTAAATATGCCAAAGTTAGAGTTTTACAAATTATTTTCGAAAGTAAGTTTCCCAAATTTAATATCTCACGCTCAGAAAATCAGTGCTAAAGTGTTTTCAACCATGAAACTTAGAAAGAATTATTTCAGAAGTAGACTGACAGATGAGCATTTAGCATCTTTCCTTAGAATTAGCATATCTCATTTCGAACCTCAATATAAAGATTTTTTTAATGAAATTGCGATTTCATTCATCTCATTACCATATTTAAATTGACATATTGTTTTAAAAATTTTAGAAAAATTTATCTTGGTCCACCGAACTTTTTTTTTTTTTTTTTTTAATTTTTGGCCATCGACAGAGAAAGTTTGCCCATCCCTGCACTATACCGTCTGGGCGGCATAAGATCAGTAATATGTCTACTAATTACCGTTTTTAAATTTTTGCTTCCTTCTACGAAGTAAAAAGAAAGCATTGTAATTGAGAAAACTTTCGTGTATCATATTTCGACGAAAATATCCATTTTGACCGCTATCGAATGCAATTTAACGATGTTTTTGTGTGACATATGTTCGTGAGGACATAATAAAAGAATGTTCTTAAGAAAACCGATTGTAAAAGAGATTTAAAATGGATTCAAAAGATGGTTTTTCGTGACGTGTTTTTTAGTTTATGTTATTTGTACGTTCCGGCTAAGGTTTTTATGTTTATAGTTAAGCTGCATGCAGTAGTTGAATTATCAACATTTTAAAAGTTGTTTAATGCCACTACGCCTAACAGAGCAGCCCTATTTGTTTACATTTGAAACTTAACAAAATAGTAAATTAAGTCAGTTTCTTCACCTTCAGTGTCTTTTTGCCAAGTGGGATCAAAAGTAAACTTTCAGTTTTGTGCACCGAAAAATCTGCCTTGTTGCTTGCTGGACGAATTGCTTGTTTCTGAGTAGAAACTCTAATTTTAATTCTAAAAATTGTTTTCACTGTATTTTATATTTTTCTACCTTCTTCAATTTTTAATGAAGATATTTTGAGTTTTTATATATTTTTGCCTTGTAGTGAAGTGAGAAGTGAATTAATTGAACGAGAAATATATCTCTAATGAAATTCAAGGAAATAAGTTTAAATGAAATTCAGCAAAAAATGCGTGTAGTTTAATAGGCTGTACAAGAAAATCATATGGTGTCCGCATCAGATTTTTTATAACTTATGATAGTTTTAATATGGAACTAAACGTGAGAATGTTATAGTAATTTTTGACGTCATAGTTAATGGTACTGAATGAGTTAAAAAAGCTTTTTAAAACTTTCTCTTAATTATCATGAAGATCGTTTTTCTTCTTATCGATATAAATCATTCTTTTTTATTACTTCCTTGTACGAAGTAAAAAGGAAGTATTGTAATCGCGAAAAGTTTCAGGCAGCATATTTCAACGAAAATATCCATTTTGACCGCTATCGAATGCAATTTAACGATGTTTTTGCGTGATATCTGTACGTAAGGACAGAATAAAACACTCTTTTTCCTTCAAAAAAATTATAAAAACTGCTTTTAAAATTAATTCTGAAGAGAATTTTTCGTGGCGTCTGTACGAACGTATGTACGTACGTGCGTACATACGTATCTCGCATAACTCAAAAACGAGTAGCCTCAGGACGTTGAAATTTTGTATATAGGACTGCTATAACATGTAGATGTGCACCTCGTATTTTGGTTGCAATCGGCCGCAGCAAACGTATATAAATATATTTATATATATATCCACTCTATTACCCGGCTCAGTGATCTCAGTTTCTTTACTCTTATATGTTTGTAAATTGTACATTTTTTGCTTTAAAAATGATTGAATTATGTTGTTTTATCTTCCGGTTAAGGATTTTATGCCTTTAGTAAATCTGTGTGCAATATTTTTAGAATTATCAGCAATTTTAAAGTTGTTTAATTGCCGCTAAGCCTGTTTTTAATGGCGGCCATTGATGTTTACATTTGAAACAGGAGACTAGTGGATTTGTTGCCAATCTAGAGAAACTTAGCTTCGCAACAACAAAGATAACGCATTCATTTATTATTGCCAATTAAATCATGCTTAATTCTTTCTGCAGATTTTCGAGGAAATAAGTGTTTGAGATTTACTTCGCAATTTTTAATACATATATTTTGAGTTTTTATGTATTTTTGCCTTCTCGCGAAGTGAGAACTGAATTAATTAAATGAGAAATACTCAATCGTCTGTGAAAAACTGTTTCATTTTTGTTTTGTTTGCTTAAATTTCTTTTATACATCATTCTAGCTTTATTATAGTATTTGAATAGAACATGTGGCAACGATTAAATAATTCTATTCTTTAAATGATATAAATTTTGTGCATTATGAGTTATAATATGAACGAAATATATACGTTAACTGTTATATAATTATTGGATTATATACAGTTAACTTAGTTTCCGTTATATAATTATTATATAAGTTAACTGTTATATAATTATTAATACTGTTAAGTGAATCTAGCGCCGGAGTGTCGCTATGGTAAACAAATACTAGAGTGAATTTTAAAGAATGCATTTATTCTATTGTGGTTTATGCGCTGTCGGCGAAGTAGATTTAATTCAATCCAATAAGTTTAAATGAAATGCAAGAAAAAATGCGTATAATTTAATATTCCAATACAAGGAAGTCATGTGGTGTACACATCAGATTTTTCATTTATTTATTTATACTTTAATATCCCAAAACATACCGTGTATCACTTCAACTTTGTTGTTTCATTTCTGCTTTCCCTATCCTCTGAATTACTTGAATCGGCTGTAGCCGTAATTGCTCGTGAGAATTTGTAGGCCTGAGACAAAGCATGTAAACTAGTCAGCGTGCTTTGCCTTTTAAATTTAATGCTTAATATTTACTTTAAGCTGCTTTGTTTTTATTTTATGCTCACAAGCTTTTGAGTTTCATTTCTGTTTTTAGACAGGCTGTAAAACTGTTAGGTAGATGAAATAATAAAAATGTTTATTTTAAGCTTTGTGTGTGTGAAGACTTACTTAACTAAAAAATTAAGATAGTAGCCTGAATCTTCAAGCATCCAAAAATTAATATTTAAAGTAGTTAAGATTCGAACAAGCTAGTCCAATTTTCAAAATTCAGAACATATGTTTGGAAAAATGCTTTTGTAATTGGGAAAAATCTTCTTCACGGGTAAAAATTTGGTAGCATCTCATCTTTTGTCTCTTAAGTCTTTTTCAGTTGTAATTGAGCTATGGCAAGAGTGGAATGACCACAGACTTCAATACCCTTCTTGGGCAATAGGAAATATCCAAATCCTGGATTCCAGTTGGATGACAAAATTGTGGACTCCCAATCTGTACTTCCTGAACTCAGTCGATGGCAAATTAGATAACGTTATCATGCCTAGTAGCTTCTTCTGGCTAACCCGAAATCTAAATATAATTTACTGTTGCAGGTAAGTTCAATAAGTTATATCAATAAGTTATATTTTCTCCTTACTTTCCGCATGCTTTCGTGATGTAAGTGGAAGCACAATTGACGCGTATTCGGGAAGTCCGAATCCCGGGGGGTGCGGGGGCAATGCGGTTTTCTTCAATTGCCAAACATAAAAAAATTCTAAAATGATTTTACAAGTGGATACCGAACTAAAAAGGTGGTGGAAAATAATTCGTCACTACCAGACTTTTGCAATTGGATCCCCTAATCCTCAGTCTCCCTTTGAAAGAGGAAGTATATAAAATACTTTCTCCCTCCTTTCCGCGTTCCTTCGCGGTGTAAATGGAAGCACGCTAGATGCGTATTTGGAAAGCCCTGAGATCGAAGCCCGGCGAAAGCAGTAAGCATTTCTTCAGTTTCTTGACATTGATAAAGCATAATGTCCTTAAAATATAATTTGTAATATTGGAGAATTTGGGGAATTTTGAAAAGGGAAAATAATTTGAATTATTTAAACAAGTTTATAACGTTTGGTAGAGTAACATTATCTTTCATATGTTTTGTTAATTTCTTCCAGTATACCGTATCAGTATATGTGTTTAGACAGTGTATGTCGTAACTGAAAACCTGTGGAAGAAATGCTTGCCGGAGCCTCAGAGAGGTTGGACTCCTGTCTGTGGATCTTGGATCTTGGATCATATCTTTACTGCTGGCTTTAGCTACTAGGAGCTCTTACCAGTTATATTATCATTTTACCATGATAATTTTACCATGATAGGCCATAAAGTTAAAAATTAAGAGGTGTATTTAAAATACACCGCGCCCGAAGGCGAGATCAATAAATGAGAGAACTCATAAAATAAGTTTTGCTAAGTTGCATATCATGGCATAGCATGGGTGATTATATACGTAAATGGTGGCGAGAAGCGAAATGAAATTCTAAGCTTCTGCGTGAGTCAAGAAGAGCAGGAGCACGTGATCAGCGTCCGGCATTTAGATTGGTCGAGGAGTCAGAGTTCGAAAAATGAAGTTTTTGTAGTTTTTTGGCAATAAATAAAGTTCGAACATAGTAAAAGCAACATCTATTTGTGAATTTAAGAGTCTTATGTCTTTTAAAAACACTTGAAAATCTTCTAAACTTGCGATATAATCATTAAATGAATAGGAAACTGTAAAAGGTGAAAATGAGGTCATGTAGCTCACTAGGGCTAATGAGTGAGAGTAAGCACTTGGTGTTACCACGAACTTTGATTTTAAACACACGATACGAAATATTAAAAATAAAAAGTAAACATCTTGGTTAAATAAGTAGTAAAACGAAGAATTCATTGATGAAAAATAAAGTTCTAATTTTGCAAAGTTCATCTTTCTTGAATAGTAACTGCAAAGGAATAGTATTTTTTTTTATACATTATATACACTACCACCACTTAGAATTGTGGTGGATCGTTCGAGGTCTTTTCACTACGTTCTCAATAGTATAGTCATAGTCTGTAAGCGATTTAATAGCTTCATAGGGAGAATTTCTCATATCTTCAAAGAAGTTGTGTGCAGAAATTAGGATTTGGTCGTGAATTGGATTGATATCCAGGTCTTTGTGAATTTGAGAATTTCACACGAACCAGGGTGCGTTCACTATGCTACGTAAGATTTTGTTTTGGAGTACATTTAATTTTTGTCTGTCTATTTTTCGGGCAGTAGCCCAAGCTGGAACTGCATAGAGGATTATTGGTCGAATAAGTGAGATGTAGATATTTTTCTTGGTACGGAGGCTTAACTTGGAGTTTCTTCCAATTAATGAGTAGAGAGCAATGAAAGCAGCGTTAGCCTTATTTGTAACATATTGAATATGATCTTTGAAATTTAGGGTTTTGTCAATATAGACACCTAAATATTTATAGGAGTTGGCAACAGGAATATCTTGGTTATTGAGTCGGATATTTATATTCACTGGGATATTTTTTCTGTATCTGCGAAAGAGAACTACGCAGCATTTATCAGTATTTAGTTTGATTTTCCAGTCTTGACAAAATTTGTTAATAATGTTGACTTGGAGCTGAAGTTTCTCTAAAGCATTATTTGGACTTCGTGAACTGGTGAGGATGAATATGTCGTCGGTATATATGCTTAGGATTTTAGAATGAAAAGGTAGAGGCATATCATTTATGAATATTGTAAAAAGCTTCCGTCCTAAAACACTGCCTTGAGCTACTCCACTGTAAATCACTTTTTTTGCAGATATTGCTTCACCACAGCGCACTTGAAAAGTACGACGTTTAAAATAATAATGCATAAGCTTCATAAAGCTGTTTGGTAAAAGGAAGTTAGATAGCTTTTGAAGTAAGCCAGCATGCCACACTCTATCGAAAGCTTTTTCGAAATCGAGGAAGCATGCCGCTAGTCCGTTCTTTTTTGTAAATTCTTGGGCAATAAATTCAACTAAATTTAATATTTGATGTGTGGTATTGTGGCCTTTGCGGAATCCAAATTGATGCTTGTCTATTAGATTAAGGCGTTTCTAGATGATTGGTGAGCCGAGCACTAAGTACTCGTTCGAAAACTTTTCCAAGTGCTGGCAGAAGACTGATGGGTCTGTAATTATTTTGCTAGCTTTGGATCTTTTCCTGGTTTCGAGATTGGTAACAATGATCGAGATGTTTCTGCTGCGAATGGAAAGTAGCTGAGTCTAAAATAGCAATTAAAAATATTTGTAATTAAGTCTATGCATCTTCTAGGTAAAGCTTGCAATGATTCATTAGAAATCATGTCATATCCTTTAGCTTTGCGCTTCTTTAATTTTTTAATAATTGCTGAACTTCGTTTGGAGATGCAGGCATAAAAAAAATTAATGCTGGGACTGTTGAGGATGCTATATGACAGAGTAATTAATATCTTTTTCGTGATCAGAATTTTATTTTCATGTTGTTTTAAAAATGTTTCTAATTCTTTTGCATGAATTTCAGCTATGGAGTCTTCGGAGTGGTGAATTTTGCCCATGTGATACAGGGGGTGAATTTGATTGGGTGAAAGATTTCTGAGTGATTTAGCTACTTTCCAAACAGGAGTTTGGGTAAAGATCCATGTTTTCTAGGAAATTATCCCACGAATTTGATCGATGGGTGGCGATGTCTTCTTTTATTTTTCTGTTTAAATAATTAATATGACGTTTTTCAGTAGGATTGTGAGTAATATGCCATCTTTTTCTAAGTCTATTTCTTTCTTGTATAAGGGATTTAATTTCTTCTGGGATGTCATATAGGATTTTATTCTTGACTGTATAGGTAGATTAGTAGCATTATTGATAGCGTTTTGAATTTTGGAGTTTAATCTGGTGATTTCCAGCTCAATATCGCAGTCATAACGAAGTGTGGCTCTGCTGTTTACAGAATTAGCTGTTCGGTAACCATATACGAATTAACTTTTGTATGAGCTTTAGGGAGAGGGGGATAAAATCCATAAAAGTTGGAGACTATAGGGAGATGGTCAGACGAAAGTTTTGTGTGAACATCAAGATTAGGAATATTAAGGTTTTTCATCAAAACTATATCTAAAATATAACCGAGTCCGTTGTGCGTATAGTGCGTTGGAAGATTGCGAGCAATGAGATTGATGTTACTATTGTGGATGAAGTTGTTTAAATTTTCTCCGATTCTATTTGTGACTCTACAGTTCCAAGAGGAATTTTTAGCATTTAAATCACCTGCTATTAAGGTGGGGTAGTTATTTTCAGTAAGTAGTTTCAGAATTATTGAAGATCAAGAGTGCTTGAGGGGGGATTGTAGACGGAGATAAAAAGAAAAGGTTATCTAAAACCACTATAGATAAGTACTGCAGCATTTTCTATAGTACAAGCAGGGTTTTAAATCATATTTGGCTGTTTTGATATGGTTTTTAATGAGAATTGCGTTTCCTCCACCTCTATTATGTCTTCTGTCTTTTTCTGTAGATGCGGTAGCCTTGTATTTTAAATTTGTCGCAAGAGCGGAGATGCGTTTCATTTACTAGCATAACATCAATGTTATGTATAGTAAGAAAATTTGAAATTTCCACTTGTTGGTATCTGATGCCGTTTGCATTATAGTAACAAATCTTTAAGAAGCTATTTGTAGCTGAGATAAATTTATTTGACTATGAGTTTGATTAAAATTCATAGTTAGATTTGAGAAATATTCGAAGGCCGCCATACCGACCTCTAGTTTGTCTATATTGTTTTTGCTGTTTTAAATTTCTGAAAGAATTCTTTAACTTGAGTGAATGGGATTTTATCCAGTCAAAAAAGCTAAGTGGGTTTGAGTTTGTGTCTTCTGTTTACTAGTGTTTTCATTTTCCTTGGAAGTATTCCATGCATTTTTTGGTTGTTCTCAGGGAGTGAAGGAAAATCCTTTTTTGTTAAATTTAAATTGTTCTTTTTTCTTTTCTTCTTTGAAGCTTTAGATTCTCGATTTGCTTCTGAACATTATAAGGATGTTTACCGCAACCTTTGTAGGAAGAAACGTGATTTTGCCCACAGAGGGCACAGACTGGGTATTTGTTGTCCATTTTTTTGTTTGTTTACAAGTGAATGTTTCATGAGGCTCTGCCACATTATAAACAGCGATGTTTATAGTGACATTTGTTCCGTGTGTGCCAGTACCTTTGTCACTTATGGCACTGCATAGGTCCAAAGGCGATCTTTAAAAGGCTCGATGAAAGACATCAAGGCCTCTGAGTTTCTTTTGATCATATATTCTTTTACCTTCTTTATTGCTAGTACATTCTGCTATAAAAACAGGAAGATGAACTTATTTTCTTTCAATAGAGTGAACTACTTGTCGAAATTTTTTTGAATTGGGATAACTTCTTGGGCAATTTCGTTTTTGATTAGTTCCATATTAGCTGTTTTTGGAAGTTTTTTAATTTATTGGCTTGATAGTCTTTTCACTGTTGAGTGTATAAAGTATGAAAAGGAATAAGTTTAGTTTAGTTAGGTATACAGTAACTGTGCGGTAGTGGTCTGAGTCATAAACTCTTATGGTCAGT